AGCTAGGACTGTTTTACATCTAAATCAAAAAACACTGTGTAATGGTATGTCCATAACTTCTCCTATCTAACCTGAACCTTGGTAACCCCTGACAGCCATTTGTTGAATCAAACAAAACACTGTTGGGTTGTATTTTGCTTCTCCTGCAAATCTTCTTCCACAGCAGAAGTGTTGTTAGGATACAGAGCAAAGACTACAGAAACACCCTCTGCTCACTTGCTTGAGCTTGTACAGCAGAGTTTGTACAAAAGTCACTGATGTAAACGCTGTGCTCACATATTTTAAATCTCAAGACTCCATCTAGCAATACAAACTATATAGATAGTGTCTTCACATTTCTAGGCTCAACTAATCTGCATCATTTACTCCTCCTGAAAGTAAAAAATGGTTGCCCTTTTGTTGTTGACTTGGCAGCAATCCCTTATACTATTAATGCACACTGCAAAACTGGAAATATAAGCATGTCAAGTCTATTTTCCATTAATTTAAGAAGGTAAGACAATCCTGCTGTAGAATAAGATGATGCACGTTTAAAAGGACAAGAAAAGGACATCTCTATTGACTTATTTCAATTCACTGTATTTATAAAGCGCTAATTCCCAACACATGTCATCTCAAGGCACTTTACGGAGACAATTCAACCAGATCATAAAGTCAAACTGATTCAAAGTTTTCTATCTAAGGAAAACCACCTTATAGCATTGACTCATTGACTCCAGCAGTCCCTCACACCATGCATGCTTATAGCGACAGTGGAGAGGAAAAACGGCCTTTTAACAGAAAGAAACAGGAGCAAACCTCCAGCAGAACCAGGCTTAGTGGGAGCTGCCATCTGCTGAGGCCAACTGGGGTTCCAAGAGACAGAAGCAGACGTAGAAAAAGAAGCAGAGCTACAAAAACAACTGTTAATGCATATATTATCAAAATCTCATTGAGGCCAGGTAAACAGTCATATTCCCCTCTGTCATACAGACTGTTGGTCTCTTAGAAAGTCCCCCCACACAACCCTATGCTGCTGATTAATGGATGGAGGAATTCACAGCCTAGTCTGTCAGAGAGTTATCCTTGATTTCTGTGGTTAAAGCTCTCTGCGCTTTATATGTTGGCTGCAGAGATTACAAGTCATCATGTCATCTAAGTCTGGCCAGCGTAACGTTTCTAAGCATATCTCTCAGGCTGATAATGTGAGGGGCCATTGTTCGCCATAACAGATCCAGTGTCGGCTTATCATCGGTGGCTGGCTGCCTGAGAGACAGACGGAGTAGAAGAAGAAACAGAACCTTTGTTTTTTGTTTTTTTCTTTTCTTTCTGGCCCTCTTGTCTGGTCTTGCGCTGATTTACATACTCTGGCACTGATTTGACAGGCAGGGTAAACTCAGGCTTCACTTAGCACACTAATTAAGTCTAATGCTTTACATTGGATGAAAGAAAACAACCTGTAGCTTAGTTTATTATGATTATTTGGCCATGTTCCAATGAAACCAGCCTTTCCAGTGGGCAAGATTATTAGTTACAGTAGAAGTGATGAAATGTAAAAAAAAATAGGTTGGCTGTTAACCTCTTACCCCCTCAGGGGGTATAAATAAATTTCTGCCTGACAAAAACACACAAAAGTAAATCACTTATAGCCTCACAGCTATTAGATTTAAGAAGAAACTTTTGGTACCTCTGTAAAGGTAAGATGTCATAGAA